ACAGCAATATATTCAACCGCACTTATCTCTTTTTCTCTCTTTCACATAATAATTGCACGTATTTCACATACGATCATTTTCATTAAATAAATTGCCACTTTCGACGATACGAATAATAATAATAATAATGGTAACAACAATTCGTCTAATTTATCACTAATATCTCACTAAAATGGGGTGAAATATAACAAACAATATATAACGTTTGATATCAAGTAAATTTCGTTATAGATAAATAGCAATGAAAATAAATGAGGAATATTATTCGAAGTATAGTAATAAATATATCAACGAGATAATGGGATGTGAAGATAATCAATGGAACGAATGAGAGAAGAAATAAAAATAAAAACAAATAAATGGACTATCGGAAAAGATAGAAGTGGAAAAATACACATAGTAAGAAAGCAAAAAAAAATATATATATATATATATATATATAAAGGAAAGCGTTGTCCCATGGGATCTGTAGAGTATTGTCGTGGGGGTTGATAGTTGGTTCGTCGACTGTCATTGGAGGGCGCCAGCGTTGTCCTGTCCCTCTTTCACCCCTTATCCCCGGTCCAACGAAAGCATCCCCTTTACGCCTTCGACGTTGGTAGTGTCCATCTCTCTCTTGGTTCTGAGGGAAGAGAGCTAGCTACCTTTTCAGAGGGGCAGCAGCCTTGGAAAGGGAGGGCTTAGCTCGGGACTGTCACTCGGTGATGGATGATTCTACCCCAACGCGATCAATTCGCCTACCCCTGGAGTGTACATGCTTCGAGCTGCAACTCACCCTTCGGCCTATGCTTACGGGGCTAAATATATATAAGATAGAAAGAAATATATATAGAAAGAAAGAGAAAGAAAATAGGAAAAACCTTCCTTCTGATCCACTGGAAGACAATATTCTTCAATATATAATTCTTTAATCAGAATTGAAAGAAATAAAGAAAGATTAAAATACAATGAAACACTTGTATTATCTACTATTCCCATGAATTCATTCATGGATTAAGTCAAGAAAAAGTTATTACTCTGAATTGATAATTCTAACTAAATTGAAAAAAAAAACATGTAAAAATGTTATAAACAATGTCTAAAATTATAAAAGTTATTATATAATGAAAATATTTAATTAAAATATTGCTTTTAGAAGTGTTTTCTATTGTTGAACCTGGTCACGTATAAAATACAAGTTTATTGAGAAAAGTTAACGAGCTTTAGCTGACGGCTCTGTTCGAATTATTTGAACCTATACTGTACTTTGAAAAAATAATAAAAAAATAAATTAAAATTCTAAAATCAATGTATAGAGAATTGTAAAAAGTGTTAATGGAAGTGTATAATTATTATCGCTTTTATAATTTGTTTTCTATTGTCATATCTGGTCACGTACAAGGGACAAGTTTATTGAGAAAAGTTAACGAGCTTTAACACAAGATTGTTGTTTGAATTATGTATCTTTACGTATTATAGTATACATATATATATGCTATATCAATTTAAAAAACCCTTCCAACTCTTCCTATTTCTTTCTTGTTCACTCTTTTATACTTTTATTCAATATCGTCGAGTTGTTCGCTAAACTTTTCTCGAAAAAGTTACTTCTCTATACACAGAAGTCTCTTAATTGACGATATTACGTTTGCATAAATCAAACGAAGCGTAACAGTTTTTTCCTGATTATTTATTTCCTTTTTCATCCTTCGACTTACTATAGAAGATCGTTGTGGAGATAAAGTTAGGAAACATCGTTCGGGAGTTTCATAAATAAGTCACGTCGGGAATTCAGTTATATATATACCTATTCTTTTATTTTTTTATTATTTTCTTCTTCTGCATGTTCGCATCAAGTACTTCGTCAAACTTTTAAAGTTCCCATCCGAAAAAAAAACCAAAACAAAAACAAAGTATCGAGAAATCGAGTTCAATGTATTCCAAAAAACAACGACAACAACATTTTTTCCTATAAATTTGTGTATCTTTTAAATCGAATGGGTCTTTTAAACTCCGAAGTAGATCCTGGAGATACAAAAAGAGAGAAAGATAGGAGACAAATTGAAATTTATTACAAGAAAAAGCAAAACAAAACCAGGAATTAACGATCGATCGATAAAGAATATGAATTTGAGAAAGTATTAAATTTTTAACGAATACGAGATTAATTATTCAAACTACTTATCTGTACTAAGACGAGTGAAAACGACTAGCAGCAGCTAGTCATCACCCACCCTTTTTACTACACTCTCTTTCTCTTTTAGTCTTGAAAGGAAGAGAAAATACGTGACTCTACTGTTAATATTCGTTCTTGAAGATAGGATCGAGGAAATTTATCAACGTTGAGAAATAAGAGACTCGATCTGTCTTCCACCTACTCGAACGATTCTCAGTCATTTCTCTTTCTCCCTCTCTCTGTCTGTATTTCTCACGACATCCCTCAGTTGTACATCAACCCCGTAATACTCATCCTCTAGCAAAGCCATTGACGATCGTACATACTCTACAACGCTATCTAATTTGCATAGTAAATTTTAATCAACCTAACCTCAAGCTGTAATATGTACATATGTAGGTAGATTACACATACGTAAACGAAGACATGATGTGTATATATATAAGTATATACATAAGTATATACATAAGTATATACATAAGTATATATAGATATATATAAATCGTAGTAGAGCAGGGTGCTTCACCACCAGCACTAACACCACCCAACTCATAATTACTTTCCTCTGCCGGTGCACGTTAATTCAAATTGCTTTCGAATTACCTAACGCCGTGTTGAGATAGAAAGAGAGAGAAGAGATGTGGAGGAGAGGAGGAGAGTAAAAGAGAGAGAGAGAGAGAGAGAGAGGATGGAACAAGTGAGAGAGGGCTCTTTTCGAGACGCGCCGCGTAACAAGCTCGAGAATTACTCGCTCGGCTCTCCTCAACGCTCTCTGTGTGTACTCGGTTGCATTGCTTCAGGCTGCTCTTGCTCAGCTGGATTGCGTTCATGGCCCGTACTTGCTAGACACAAGAGAGAAACAGAGAAAGAGAACACACAGAGAGAGAAAAAAACTAAATAGAATGATAGAAAAAAAAGAAGAAGAGTGAAAGAGAGAGACAAAAAATCTACATGAACTAGGAGATAGCCAAAGAACTGAAACCGTCGAGATCCTTTGGATTATCGTACCCGACAAAAGATAACGGCGCTTATCGTGGCTCCCGGCATGAGGGAGAAAAAGGTTGCCTCTGAAAACTCACAGCCGTATTGTCGACAATTCCTGTCCCTTCTAGCAACACTACTACCCAACTCCTACCTCTACTACTATCACCATTACTACTACTACTACTATCACTGCTGATTCTGCTGCTACTACTGTTACTATCACCGACATTACTATTGCCACTAACATCGCCAGCTAAATCGCGAGCAATAGTCTCGTGTGGTACAATAGCAAGCACTATTCTACCCTTTCCTAACACTTTCTCTCTTTTTTTTCTATCTTTCACCCTCTTTCTCTCTCTCTCAATTCCCTTTTCTATCTCTATCTACGTCAATTTACTTCTTTGAAAGATGATGTCGATCGTATCAACAAATGAGAGAAGAGATAGAGTAATACGTTGATTGTAATCGTCTTTACGATTATTTTTATTGCTAACAACTAACGCGTGTGCCTTCTCATTCCTCCTTAACCCCATCCGGTGTTTGATATTTGTGTTGATAAGAAGATTTATTTGCTAATAGATAATGTATGTATGTTAATAAGATAGGATTGATTAGATTAATAGTTTTTGCAGGTGTGTTTCATGAATAGTAAATATGTTCTTAGAAGAGATATAGAGAGATAGAAAATAATATTTATGTATGTGTTTTATAATGGGATAAATTATTCTTGCAAATGACTCATGAATAATACAGTTTGTGTAATAGTTTTTTTAACGATTTAAATCTTTAAAAATAATTTTTAATTTTCACAGTTATATATATTATTTATAAATTATCGAGTTAATAAAATAAGAATTTATAATATAAATAGTTTCTATAGGTACACGAGTAATAAAACTTCTATGCATTTATTTTTATTAATCTAAGCTTCCAGAATAATTACTATACAGGTTTAATAATATTCTTTGTTAATAAAATAAAAATTTATAAGATAAACAGTTTTTATGGGTACACGAGTAATAACATTTTTTTTCATTTTTTTTTATTAATCTAAGCTTTTAAAATAATTGCTATGCATGTTTAATAATATTCTTTGTTAATATAAAAAATGCTACAAAAATATAAAATACTTGGAGCAAATAAAAAATAGGATCATTAGTAAGCCCCTAGTATTTCGGTCCCTTAGAACGATGACCGATCGAAGGTAGGGGTGAAACGAGTCTCCAAGCATCGTGTCTCTAAGTTCCTTATCGATTCTCGATTACTGTGAAATTGTCGGTTGAACGTATTCCAGTTGAATCGATAGGAATGAAGTAAAATCAAATAATATTGTATTTTAGTAAGAAATGTTTGAATTCTTCATTTGATAAAGAATATAAACGATAAAAAATCATCAAAAGAAATATCTACAACTCTAAAATATAGTCCCCTTTTCTCTCTCTCCCTCTCTCACTCTCATCGTCGTAGTCTTTACTAATTGGTGGATAAGAATCGTGAAGAAACTAAGAAGTGGGAAACGTTTGTCAAAGGAGGAAAACCTCTTACGAGTCGCCTCGAGCAATGGAAATAACCCAAAGAAAAGTAGAGAAGTACAAAAAGAAGAAGAAAGAGAAAAAGTAAAAAAGAAAAGAAAAGAAAAGTATGAGTTCCGGAAGCCGGAAGAAAAGGAGAGTACCTTTGATCTTTCTCAAGGTACTCCCTTTTTCGTTTTTCCTTTACTCTTTTCTTACTAAGAAACTTCCTTGGAAGCACGTGTATGCACATATGCATATACATACATATATATGTGTACATGTAGATAAATAAAAAACATTTTTCTATGGAAAAGAAAAACAAAAAATATTACACGAAGTTCACTTACCAGAAGAAGAATAAAAAGAAAAAGAAGTAGAAGTAGAAGCAGAAGAAGAAGAAGATCACAGAGGGTACACAAAGTTCTTGCTCACTGTTCTCCAACTTTGATGCTGCTTCCACACACACAAGTTCGCATAGGGAAACTATAAACTCGTATTCCGTGGGGCGCTAAGTTCAATCACTCGCGTTCGATTGTAAATGTGATATAAATAAGATATATAAACGATGATAACAAGAAGCAGAAGAAAAAGTAGAAATAGAAAAATAAAAAGAAGAAAAATAAATAATTAGATTAATAGTTGTTAAGCGTTGATAAATGATTAAAGAAGGGGGGTTTCGTTATAAGGGTAGTTCGTTGAATCTTGATAGAATCAAAAGAAAGAAATAAATTAAGAACGAACGAGAGTGAAAGAGAATAGTTAAAAAAAGAAAGAAAGACAGAGAGATTACCGGCACCTTGGCACTTAGCTGTCGTTCGTTCGTTCGTATATACGTGTAGGTTAACCTTGAAAAGGCAGCCCGGTAGCGACGATACGCGAGCCTGTTTTGGGTGGCGTGCTGGTGCTGTTGAGAGCGTGACTACGAAGGCGCCGTCTTTCGGTATTCGAAAGTACCAAGAGAAATCGATAGACCGGCTCCGGCACATGCGTGTAATTTCCTCCCTCCTACCTTCTCTACCGACCCTTCTTTCTTACTCTCTCTTTCTTTCTTTCTTTCTATTTTATTCTCCTTTTTCCTCCCTCTCGTAGTGGCGGCAGACCACGAGCCAGAGCGCTGTGCTAGGCAGCAGCAGCAGCACCAGCAGCAACATTGGTGGTGTAGGTGGACGTGGTGGAAGAAGAAAACGAAGAAGAAGAAGAAGAAGAAGGAGAAGAAGAAGAAGGGTTCTAGGCGACGCTCCCCAAAGTAATGGGAATTTCTTTTCCGTTTGCACCCCCTCGCCACGCCTCCCTCCAACCTTCTCCTCATCCACCCTTTTCCTACTTCTCTTTACCCTCCTTCACCCTTCGACATCCTCGCTGTTTCAACCCTGCGTCTCGTTCTACCCTTCTTCTTCTTCTTCTTCTTCTTCTTCATCTTCTTCTTCTTCTTCGACGCTCAGCTGCTTTTTGGAAACACCCTTGCTATACGTCAAGTACGTACCTTTCTTCGGTTGTGTGTTGTTATTGAACATGGAAAGGTTTGTAAGACCAACAAGAAGAAAAAGAAAGAGAAAAAATGTATATCAAAGTGAGAGGAAAGGAAAGAAAGAGAATGGGAAGACGTTGGTCAATAAGAACCAAAAATTCCTCATACGTGGAAAAATCTCGAGTTTGCTTTTTCTCTTATCTAGGAAAAAAATTCTTACCACGGTCGGCTTATCCTCGAAATGCCGAAAATTGCCGTTTGCGAAGTAACTACCCTTTCGGAAATCCTCTTCTTCCCTTTCTTATTCTTCACACCTTTTTCTTGCGAGCGTAGGTTTATCGATTGCTCTTTTTTACCAGACTAACTTCAACCCTTCAAGATATAACAATTTACACTCTCAACCTAGACAATTTTATTATTTAAAACTCCATTTTTATTTTTTAAATAATATTAGTTAAATATTGATTAGATGTAAACATTTTTGAAACGAATGTAGCTTCGTCAAAAAATTAGAAAAATTCATTTTATATTTAATTTTTTATAACAATCATTATAATACCATTTGATTTTTCTAATTTATCAACCTCGTCCATTTTTATGATACCCAACGAATTCTGTAGAAATAAATTACATTTAAGGTATTTCTTAAAATCAATGACCGGTTAAGTATTGATCAGTAATTGAAATAGAAGAAATCTATTGTTATTCGAGTATGGTTCGTTCAGTGAAATTTGTTTTCGATCGATAGGAAAACAGAGCTAGACGGGATTTAAACGTAAGACAAACGGAGATAAACCTTGCTGGATAAGGTCCAAGAAATTTATCGTTTAGAAAGGATGTTGCTGCTGTTGCTGTTAAAGCTACTTCCTTCGCCAGTAGGCAACCATTTCTGAGACAACTTGCAAATTTAGCTTATGGTAAATAACAATATATTCAAGTTAATAAATTATTACTAATGTGAAACCTTACAATCCATAACTTAAGAATATATTTACTTAGTGTATAGTACTATATAAATGTATAAAAGTATATATGTATATATGTATATCTATCTATGTGTGTGTAGGTGCGTTAACGGCTCGTGAAAGTCGATCGATACGCCTCGACGACGCATACGAGGATGGAAAACTCACAAGACGAGTTCTTCTCCTTCGAAGATCGTAGGTTTCATTCTTTCGTTGAGACGAACGTGTAATCTTTTAGGAAAAAAAATCTTATCATCAGATATTATATCGAAGTGTGTCTCGAAATTTGTATCGATCGATAAGCTTTTAAAATAGAATTCACTTCAAAAATCCCATTTGATATGATATGATGATAATCGATCGATATTTATAAAACGACAACGATCAAAATAAACTTTTCGAATCTGTCATAAGGACGTACACATTATATAGCTTTTATATAATGTATATACCTGTATACATATATATACGTGTATAAAAATAAAAAACAAACGAGATTGTTTTCTGGTCGAGATGATTGAAATCGATCAATATTTATCACGTGAAGACGATCAAAATAAACTTACCGAACATTGAATGGAGATCAAAATCGGATATAAGAAATGTACATGAAATTTTACAGCTCAATGATTTTATGATGGACGAAAAGACCAATAGTAAGTAGTATAGCAGGTACGTAGTAGGTAATACTCGTGATATTTCGAATCCTTGGATGAAAGATAGAGAGAGAGAGAGAGAGAGAGAGGAAATATATAAAAATGAAAACGAGAAAGAGAAAGAAATAGGAGAATAAAAATAAAAATAAGAATAAGAATATGAAGAAGGAAGAAAGGAAGGAAGGAAAAAAAATTACAAGATGCTCTCTCTCTCTCAGTGAACGGTTGGAACGACGCCAAGCTGCGTCTCCAAATGGGGTATCTGCTGATTCTTGCCAGAAAGAGATTTTGCATCGTGCCTTTAAAGCTCCGGAAGCGTAATGGCGCGGAATCGGCGAGCGTCGTTGAAATCTTCTCTCTCATTCGTGCCAATGTATAAGGGTAAAGTCTCGTGAGTACTTCACCAAAGACCATACTAAGGAAAGGCCATGAAAAAAAGAAGAACTTTATTTCTTTCTCTCTTTCTTTCTTTCTTTCTTTCTTTTATCTTTTGATTGTACCATCGAGAAGAAGACAACGAAAGGGTTTATTTTTCTATCTAGAAAAATTTATACTTCTTTCTAGTTAAAACCTATCAAGTTAAACATACTTACGATTTTTTTTAATAATATAATACAAAATGTAAATGTTAATAATTATTCGTCATTACTGATCACAGGTAGATCTTTTTTTTGATAATCAACATTTTTCTTAATGCTTAAGTAAGACAGGTAATATTATTTTTCAATTGTATTTAACAAAACTAAGATATAATTAAGTTAATATAATTATATAATTAATATATATAATTTTTCGTTTATATATAATTTGTATATATATGTAATTTTGAGAAAAAAATGTATTTTGAAAAAATAATATAGTTAAGAGAGATTCGTTATATTTTATGATAATTAAATTTATATGAAAATCTGTCACAAATTTGGCTCTTCAAATTATTTAGCAATACATTTTTTTTGTTGTTAAAAATTATCTTTAATCTATTTGAACTCTGGATTATTGTAATAAAATTAAAAAAAAATGACAAAGATAATATTATCTTAAAATTAGTACAAAAGTAACCTTTAGGAATGAATCCAAGTATCTACTCAGACGTGTTCGAAACGTTTTCAACTCTTTAAAAAAGAAAGAAAAGCAACGACACAAAATAAAATTAAAATATAAAAAAAAGAGAGAGCATTGTCGTAGTTCATTAACTTTAAAAAAATGTATCGAAACGAAAATCTTTTTTTTTCATACATTAAAGTGTATTTTACGAGTATTCCTAGTAAATTCAAGGCACGGAATTGTTGTTGCTCGGTGCTCGAGTGTATATACGAGAGTAAAGGAGAAAAAGATAGAAAAAGAGAGAAAGATAGATAGATAGATAGATAGAAAAAGAGAACGAGAGAGAGAGAAAGATAGAAGAAGAGAGAGGATACGGAGGGTAAAGTGAGAGAGTGAGGGATTTAGAAGCAGGGTGCAGGTTTCATGGTGTCATGGCAACACCCGTCGCGATAGAAAACGCCTTTGGCTCCCTTTTGCCATTGCCACAACGTACTACCTTCAAGAGTAGAACGTGCCTCGTACTTCGTGTGAGAAAAGTCCGATCGAGGTTAACGGCGTCGGCGGCTTCTTCAAAAGAACAGAGTCGCCCGTTCGATCGACTTTCCTACATATCTATTACCCCTTTTTTGTCTACCTTTAACATTCTTTTACCAACCCCTTTTATATTTCATCTAATGCTTGACCGTACTAATCGAAAACTCGTTAGAATCATACGAAAAATGATTAATAGTATATTTACGTGATATAGTGCAAGAAATTCTTAGAAATTGATGGAAAACATACGAGCATTAATTTTAGGTTAGGAACCATAATCTCGATATGTTTTAATATTAAAATTATTTATTTAAAAATGTACAATAAAGATTCTATATGTTTTATTACTTTTCATATATGACAACGTGGTTGTTTATTATATCATAAACAATATAAGACAAATACATTCATAATAAATGTTCAAAATGATTTTACCCTTAGCATTAATCACGTGACAATATTTTACAAATTTTGATTCCATCTTTTTTAAATTTTTTCCAAATCTTTTTCATTAATGACAGTAGTCTAATAGACAACACTTTTTATATGACCCTACAGAAAAGAAAATCGATACCTTTTTCTGATTACTTTAGACTTTATTTCCGGATCATGGTTCCATATTTAAAATTGGTGCTTCTGTATTACTTCCGACCATCATCCATAAAACTTTGATACAGCATCATAGATAAACTCTATATAATGATCGTACTTCAAAGAGTACATTTACACTCATTCGTTGAAATTTAATGATCATTAGAAAGGTCACATCCTTTCGATTATTTGAACAAAAATCAAACGAATTTTTTTTTCATTTCGATCATTCATCGAATAATTTTTATCTACAGAAATAATAGAACAAATTATTTTAACAGATTCATACGAATATCGTACAAAGGATTAGAAAGTTAGCTCATTATGTTCATGATCTTGTTAACCTAACGAGAGATTCCACATTATGTATTTATTCAAATGAACAAAATTTTCTCTAAAGTTAAAGAAGAGGAAGAAGAAGAAAAAAAGAAACAAGATGATCTTAGTTAAGGTAATCAGATAAAATTAAGAACGTGTATCTAAGTGAAACGTGTGAACCTACCGGTTTATAATTCATCTGGAAAAAGCATTGGGGGAAATTAGGTGTACGCTTGAAATATACTTGGATAGAGGATTTACCGTCGAGGGACGACAGAGTCTGCGTATTTCTATGTGTATACGGGAAAACACCACTTTACAC